CTCAGGCATGTTAATGCCTGGGTCTGCCCACGATGATATCTTGCGCGCGTGTTGCACGCGCGATCTGTCAGTAATGCATCTGTTAGAATATTCGCCCTTTGTGTGAGTATTTTAGTGAATTCGGGCGTTTGCTTCAAATCAAAATATAGTATATATGAGCGACAGGATTATTTTGGAATATACAATGCAAAGAAGTCGGTATACTATTCAGTTTTGATGTAATAATTGGTTCTTTGTATAGCAATAAGTATTGTATCATTTGCGACAGCTGACCTTTGAACTGCTGATAAATAAAAGCTTATAGTGCGCTATCTTGCGATTATTTAGTATTAATTGTTGACTGTTTCTTATTTTCAATGAAAAATAGCTTGTGAATTACAAATTAATAGCACATATAGTTCACTCGGTCTTTTCCACCATGGCATACTTCCCTTCAAGCATTAACTATGCTTCAACTGATATCGGCTTGAATGCACAATGAATGTTGTTATTGGAAATATAATATCCCTTACAATAAGCGACAGACTGTTTCATTATGGTGCGTGAAATTCATCACGCGAAAAACGCGTTCGACTTGCAGCAGGGTAATTTGACGAAATTTTGCTATGTTTGTTAGCTAAAAACATTAACGAGGGAACAAAGTTTCCTGCGTTAATTTGAAAACCGTACATTTATTTGTAGATAACATTTAATGATGCGATTAACATTCGTTTGATGCCGATCATCGTAATATAGCCACATAAAATAATGAAACGAAGCCTAAATGTAAACTTTCCGAATTTACTCAATAAACAGTGATATTATGTGTGAATGATTATCGCAATTCTGCGTCCTCTCAGTCACGAAATATACTGCTGCAGAGCCTCTGAATAAAAAGTATCATTTTTTGTGTTGTTTTTCGAAATATACATCACGTGATCGTTGCCATGGCAACGAAGGTCAACTTTTAGAATCTCCTTTGATAAATCATATAAAACTTAAATGGTAATAATCAAGGCCATACTTATTTTTTTATGATTTTTTGTTTATTTTCGCTAAATACACAAACTGAGACCCAGGCATTAATGTACCTGAGAATATACAAGTCTTCAAAACAAATAAACGGCCAAAAGACTTCTCAATCGATATTATTTATGTGTAGCAGAAGTTTGGCTGAAATCTCTGAAGACCCCGTCTATGTTTTGTCAGATATACGGATATTTCTGGAGATTTTCAACCACAGGCAAAGCTGCATCCAAGCTGCATCTAGGTGTATCCATGCAAGTGGTGATTCACACTAAATTTGTATCTCTCGTCTTGAACAATATGGCTATTGCCTTTAATATTTAGTTTAAATATGCTCTTATAGATCTGACTTAGTACGACATAAATAAACACAAATATAAAACCTCTCGTAACCTGTTTATGCTGTGCAGAAATATACACCTGATACGGACTCGCTTGTTTTGCCGGACACCAACACTTGCCGTTCAGGAGCAAAGTTGCCTACAAATTTTATCCCCTTCACAATCTTTGTTTTATTTTATCATATAATTGCAATTTTCAAGTATTCAGGGTATTCTGAAACTGTGAAACTTGGTGGCGTGACAAATCTTGTAGAGACTACATTGGCCAAGGCGTAGAGCTATTATTATATGTTATAAAGTAAACAGGGCCTAACTTAATTTAGTAGTTTCATTTAATTGTTTGCTTTTATTTGTCAGTATAGAATGTTGTAAATTTAAATATTACTACAATGCAATACGCGTAGTAGTTCATCAGACATCTGCACTACATTATAAATACTGTACAAGGAAAAAACTATACAGCTTAAATAATAGTAGACATTTCTTGTTTTGTCAGGAAACATCACAGCTCATGTCGACACAGCTTTTGAGTTTTGTAACCGGCCAAGACGAAAGTAAATCATGCAGTCGGGAAAACGTCTTACTTTGAAAGATTATTTTGCAAAACATATTCGTACACACAAGAATAATAAAAATACAAATGTTGAATTGTAATTTGTTATTGTCAACCGTCAAGTTCAGTTATTTTTAGACAATATGGTGTTAGCCAATGAGAATGCAAAATTGACCGGCCCAGACCAGGGCTTTCTCATCCCTTCCTTCATCCTTATAAGAAAGCCCTGGGAACAAGGTTGCCTCAGGTAATATTACATGACATTTTCAGGGCTGTATATCAATAGCTATGTTAGCCTTTCCTCAATACAATAAAACTTATTTCAGTGTAATTGCTAGTAGTTTTTACCTTATATCAAATCAAACAGCGCAAGTTTTTTTTGGGGGGGCACCCGGTATTGTGAAAAAATCGCAGCATCATGTGCTACAATTATGAATGCCGTTTTTTGATTGGACAATTTAAAGTTGATCGAGGCATAATATTAAATTTCTGCAAATATACATGCTAATCTGGAAAGTAGTACATCACCTATAGCTTGGCCATATAAGAACCTTGTTTTTGTCCAGATTGAGACCAATGGGTTTAACAAGTGTCACATGCACGAGAAAAAACTCTTTAGCCAAAGTGAGGTACTTTATGTTTACAGAGACTGCATCAGATTATCCATGATCATCCATCAGACATCATTAACCCATTTAAAGTGCCAGCCCTAATTCCCCTTGACAAGAAAAACCTTCTGGTGTCAAACAGAGCAAAACTCAAACTCATTAATAATTCACGAATAAATTAGTCAACAATATATATAGCTTTATTTTGCTCTTGTGTTTTGCTCACTTTTTTTTGCTCAAATGATCAAAATTAATTCAGTCCTTGGACTGGATCAAAATTAATTAAAGGTGCTTTAGTGCTTACAGTTGTAAAATGTGATTAGATATATATTATACTGAATTTTTAACATTATTCTGCTTCGCTATGCTTGTAAATGAATACAGACTAGAGATTCAATTCAAGATAGTTCAGAAGCAGCAAAATATTAATAACATTCATGCAATGGTTGGGTCCCAACCATTGGAATGTAGTCCTGTGCAGAATGTATGTGCAAAACAGACTTTACAGCAGACATTCCGACTCTCCCGATTTTACAGGGAGTCTCCCGAAAATTCATGCAATCTCCCGGTCTCCTGATTTTTATCAAATTCTCCTGATTTTCAGAATATTCAGGAAATATCATAAAAATTATATAAATATACTGTTTTTAGGAACATAATAGTCTGTCTTGACCTTTTTTGAAGTTGCTTTATGGCAAATTTATAGATCACTTATAACAACATAGTTCCAAAATGCAGGAAATGCCATTTCAGAAGGCTTAATTTTTATTATTTGTTCCCACAAAAACTAGATTTCTGATTCACTGAACAGTCTCCCTAAATTTTACCTCTGGTGGTTGGAATGTCTGTTACAGCATCTTTAAGTAGTGACTTATTCGTATGGGATGTCATTTCAAATCCTCGAATTCAAACTGGACTAGTTTTCAATTGTCCTTGCATTTTGATCGACTGAGTCCTCAGCTTCACCTCAGACTTGATCAAATTGTGCGGACTTGAAATCTAGCCCAGTCCTCATAGTCGGATTTAAAATATTACGTAATAAACTAGGGCGCATTAGGGTGCAATACAACTTAATTGGTAATATTGCAACTCTGAATTATCCAACAAATCCATCAATGTAAATACAGCTAGGCCAGTTTGTAGTCAATGCATGTAAATAAACGAGTCTCTGCAATGGTTTAAGTAGCAACCAATTTAACCAGTGCATAATCATGCAGAGATGCATGCGGCGGACTCTTGGGATTAAAGCAATTAACACTGCAATTACCCTGGCTGAGGGTCTGAGAGTGTCTAGCTGGTGTAGGTAGGATAATTGCCTTTCCAAATAAAAAATGGATTTAATAAGAACATTGCATGACACTCAGACCTTGTACTCTCTTTTGCCAATACTAGGTGTGGTGCATACCCCCAAGTAAATCCTTCACCCAGAAAATTTTTTAATCTAAAGTCTCTGAAATGCCATTTTCCTGGACTTTGGGGAGTGATTTTACAGAATTCTGATAGTCAATTTGTAACAATTATTAATTATCAGAGGCCCTGGTCAATGTTTTTGCTCTAAAGCCAGAGCCTGGTGACCACCATTTGGCCCATTGGGGTTGGGGGCCCCCCGGTTCGCCTGCTCCGAATCCATAGTACTAATAACGCCAGAAGATTCTACTTGTCAGGGGGAGTCACATGAGTGTGCCAATTTCTACTTGTCCGACATGACAATTTCTTTGTTGTGTTAAAATTACATGAAGTAAATCCACTAATTTTCAAGCACGTCTCAATGGTATAGCTGAGTGGTTACCATGCATGCATGTCTTGCCCGACCTGTACATGCTAGCTCAAATTTAAAGATGATGTCCACTCCTGTGCAAACTTTGTTTACGTTTTGAAATGCTATTTGTAAAATATGATTTACTAATTAAATATATATCTAACACTTTTCTGGTTCGCTATGCTTGTAAATGAATATAAACTGTACGTTTCAATTCAAAAAAGTTCGAAACATGCAAAATTTTGGCAATCTTTATATCTGGGGGTCCCCCTTTGTTATGAACAGAACTAGCTGATGCACAGAACGGAGTATAAATCATCTTTAAATGATCAAATCCCTGAAGATTATGTGACGAGTCCCCCCATGAAAAAAGGAAATGTTCCAATTCCCAATAGAGCACTAATGAGATGCTGTTAAATATTTTCGTTAATTCTTAGTTAATTATGTAACCATGACGACATGGATTAGAGATAGAGACATTATTTGCATGCCAGAGATATAATCCGTGATATATATACCTAAATTGACAGATTTAGAGTTAGTGTGTGTGTGTGATGTGATGCGAGTGTGAGACAGTGAGGGATTGAGACTCGAGAGCCAAACTGGGCGTGTGATTGCGAATATACTTTTTAATAAAACTACAAAAAGCTTGTGATTTGTGAATAGTGTTGCGACTACATACTTTATTTCCGACACTAAGTGGCACCTCCGACGGGATTACGTACGTTTTAAATATGACTGAAGGAAGCGAGGATGTGAAACTAGTGGCAGATCTTAACGCCAAATTAAAACTGCTTAAATTTACACGGGACAAAACTGGCTCAATTACGACTGGTTCCATTATTACTGCTATGGAACGTCACCTTAAAGCGTTGAACACTGTGCTAGACGATGTAGATGGACTGCGAAGAAATGTTGAACAGTCCAAATTCGAAAAGGGCGAAGAACTGGAGGTGGTTGCAGAATGGGGCGCAGAATTGGACGGGGAGATTGGGAAAACAGACGAAGCCATAACTGCACTCAAGAATGCCATCACTGAGGTAAGATCCAACCAAATAGGTAGAGATAGAGAGAAAGAGCATGCGTTAAAAGAAAAGGAACGCAAAGAACAATTATTGTTTGAAAAGCGCAAGTTTGAACTCAAATTAGAATACGAACAAAAACTTGATGAAACACGGAAATCTCAAGGACAAGGTCACGCTCATGAATCTAAACCGCTAAAAACTCGTGTTAATTCTAAACTTCCAGAGCTAAAAATCACGAAATTTAATGGGAATGCAAGTAACTGGCTCACATTTTGGAACAAGTTTGAAGCAGAGATTGATAAGTCCGACCTTGCCCCAACCACAAAATTTGCGTACTTGAAAGAAATGCTAGAACCGAGTATACGCGCCGAAGTAGATGGTTTGCCTTTCACAATCGAGGGATACGAACGCGCCAAAACAATTTTGAACAGCGAGGTCAACATCGTGCTGCAGGCTGTAAAAGTCGTTCTGCATGCCACAAATGCCAACGTAAGCACCACACGTCAATTTGTGATCAACTCGATAATCAACTTTTGGCAGCCTCTTGTAATGAGAACAGATCGGTATGCTACCCTGTTGTCGTTGTAGAGATAAATGGTATCAAATGCCGCACGTTGTTAGACCCTGGGGCGGGTAGTTCGTATGCGTCCAGTGCGTTAATTAACAAGTTAAACATTAAACCGGTGAAAGTGGAGAGACACCATATCGAGATGATGATAGGTTCTGTCACCAAGAATATCGAACTATATCAGATACGCGTAGGCTGGATCGATATCGCAAATACCGAATACCGATATACCGCCATCAGAATACCGGTAAATACCGGTATTCCGGTATTTTTAACATGTTTTAGTTTTTAAGCCAAACTGAAGTGCTGACCGTCAAGAAAAATCAAATTTTGACAAAATATTAATGTGGCACATACTGTTATTAGTGCATATGTCACAAGGTTCGCATTATCAAGCTATGTTAACAATTAACAGATAAGATACAATATTTTTTTATATTATTCATAAAGGACTGATTGTTTAGAAACATTTTAATCGTATAGTTCAGTTATCTAAAACATTGGTATTTTTTTCATATAGGTAATAGGGTATAATCGTGGACACGAAATATATTAGAATTTTAGAACATTTGTCTCATTAGAGACAAATGTGGGGGAGTGTGTTAAATATTTTCGTTAATTCTTAGTTAATTATGTAACCATGACGACATTGATTAGAGATAGAGACATTATTTGCATGCCAGAGATATAATCCGTGATATATATACCTAAATTGACAGATTTAGAGTTAGTGTGTGTGTGTGATGTGATACGAGTGTGAGACAGTGAGGGATTGAGACTCGAGAGCCAAACTGGGCGTGTGATTGCGAATATACTTTTTAATAAAACTACAAAAAGCTTGTGATTTGTGAATAGTGTTGCGACTACATACTTTATTTCCGACAATGCTAAATTATTTTAATAGTAGGTGACCCTAAGGTAATTACACTGGCCGGTAGGCAAAGTGTCTTAAATCCCTCTTTATCGCTTCCCTGCATATATTAAACCACCATCGGCAAACTGTTTGTCAGGTTGAGCTCGGTTTTCTGTGCTACTGAATATACTACAAAACCAGTCAAAGCCTTTATAGCATAATTATGGCTTATGTGCCCGGTTGATAGCACATAGCCACTTTATTGTTTTAATCAATTTTTAATAATTAACAAGAAAAATTATTAATTAATTACTATATGACATTTAGCACAGAATAGGTGGGGGTATTACTAACGCCCACTACACATAACATATCTATATAAGTTCAACATATAGCGTCCAACAACCAAGAATATCGAACTATATCAGATACGCGTAGGCTGGATCGATATCGCAAATACCGAATACCGATATACCGCCATCAGAATACCGGTAAATACCGGTATTCCGGTATTTTTAACATGTTTTAGTTTTTAAGCCAAACTGAAGTGCTGACCGTCAAGAAAAATCAAATTTTGACAAAATATTAATGTGGCACATACTGTTATTAGTGCATATGTCACAAGGTTCGCATTATCAAGCTATGTTAACAATTAACAGCGCTAAGCGGCAATTATTAGTAGGCCGTCGATTGGGCGTCGAAGTGTTGAATTATTCAGAAAAATATTTGTTTTGTATATAAATTCAGATAGTGTTTCAGTAAGCGGCTAATAGTTATAAACATAAAAAACGTTGCATTTTTAAAACTAACACATAAACAAGTTAGCAAGCATGTAAAAAAACTTGAAAAGCCAGAAAAAGTTTTCGCTGCTTCGCAAATGCTAGTACTTCCACCTTCCAAAATCAAAGTTTTCTTGTTTGTCGAAATTTTCCTTTAAAAATTTCGCCATTTTTATATTTCCGATTAAGGCGATTTAATAAACAAGACGTCTGGTATTGCTAAACCAAGGTCGCTAGAACTGTAAGAACAAAATCATGCATCTGTGAGTATTAACTTTGCTTTCTAAACGTGATTGTAAGCAAGTTTGACTTGAAAGAGCGTTTCATTTCGGTATTAGGCAGCAAAATACCGAAATGTCGGTATATCGGTATTTTTA